GGTGCGAGAATAGCTCGGGTAGGTAAGTTCCGTCCCCCCTGACACACACATGCAGTTAGTCGATTTCGATATATTGTTTTAACTCCACATGCAACCCACTTACGTTTTCTCATCGTAATTGTTCCCCCAACCATTAAAATTGTTGTTGTTATTATCATTATAGCCATTGTTCCTAAATTCAGCATTGGCCATTTCCGAATCATTAATGGCTCTGGAATTATGATCGAATGAACTTACGTAGTCCGTCCGCGATCCCCTCTTCCCCATCCTCCTGCGTTTCCTCCATTGTTGCTGCTAAATAAATAGTGTATTGTTTTTCCCTGACTAACTCTAAGCTTGCGACCGATGGTCTACGAGCAGTCTTCCTTAGACTCTTTGTGGGTGGAGGTACTAAAAACAGTGGTGGTCTCTCTGAAGTGTTGTGGAACTTAAGTAGATGATATATACAAAGAAGAAAACTTTGGCAGGAGTGCCTTCAAATATATCGTTTCAGCAAGAGGACTTCGAGATTGAAAGGTTAGTGACACATTAACTTTGGTGGCAGACAAAGTCTGTTTAGAATTTTAAACGCACTATTAGCACTCCATGCGACTTACGTTTCCCCGTCGTTATTGTTTCCCCATCCATTATTATTGTTATCATTAGTATTATCACCATAACCATCCTGGCTAAATTCTAATGGCATTTTTTTCCGGATCGGTTATTTGAAATTCCTACACATTAAACTTACTTGGCGCCATCGTCATTTCCGCCTCCCCATCCTCCTGCGTTTCCACCAATGTTGCTACTAAATAGATTGGTACATCATAACTGGTCTTGATGTTATATTCATAATGCGTGGCAGCAAACAAAGGAAGTAAAATAGCTAGCAACATGGGCTAACCTGTCTCTCCCACTCTCACCAAATTTTCCATTTCCTCCAGTAGCGCTGCTAAACAAATGTTATGACTGAAGATTATCTTGAACTCAAATAATAACCATAGCTAGAAGTTGTAGCAAAAAAATTGTGCAACAAAGATGCAAAGCAACCAAGAGGAAGCGTTTTCTTTGTTTGAAAGCTTGAGGCGTCACTCGGTTGGAGTGTCGACTGGAAATCAATTTGATACTGGGAAACTCATGGATTAATTTTTTTTGATAAGCACACTTGAGAAGTCCGAACCAGTAGCTTTCAAAAAGAGGTCATGAGAAGTCCGAACCAGTAGCTTTCAAAGAGTACATCATTACTGATAACAGTGCCAAAAGCATTACAATTCTGTAATTTTTACTTTTTTTGTCGCAAATGGACACATCGTCATTCGCTGAACGGAAGCGGAAAGAAAATATTAGCATAACGACTCACCCATAAGCTAAATTTTCGGCAACATTGCAGCGGTCGTGACTGCAACAGCAGAAGCTTACCGGAATCATTTGGAATGTGGTTCTAATGCATGTGTCGCGCGCCAGCTGTAATAATCATGCCATCATCAACAATCTCTGGTCATCAGAAGAGAACATCAAAGCTAGACTAACCATACATCTCCAAGTAGAGCAACCTGCTTTTATGGCATCAACAAAGAACGCAACATTAGCAGTCATGTTGTAGCAGTAAGCACTTGGAGGGCATTCTTCGACTGATTCGCCAACTGCTGACGTGCTAAGAAGCCTTCCACCCTGGATCAGAAAGTAGTTACAGAAGCCCCGTGAGTATATCAGGAGGCACTTACATTATAACAGGTAAGTGAGTGTACGGTTGAAATAGCAGTGAGTAACACTGGCAATAGCATATCGGTAACGATCTGATTGGCACAGCCTAGAACGAAAGCTACGCCGTTGTACTTGAAGTTTTCGATAAACGCGGAGCATTTGACGAATCATCTGACATATAGTGCAGTGGAAAATCAAGTAGCAATAAATTTCCAGAGAAAACACATGTTGTCCATGATTGATTTGGGAAAAGGAATAGGATTTTTCATTTTCAATGGCAAGCGATGAATGTAGTTGATCAAAAATCCACATATGCCTCATATCATTATGAGTATAGATCGCTAAAAGCATTTGTCTCTGTGTGTGGATCTGGACTTATTGTTAGACCGAAATTTAAGCTTATGTTCTGTTTCTCTCTGATGGCCCCTTTGTA